TCCTCCTTTTCTGATTTCACAAATATATAGGTTGTTGAGCTGGTTCAGCCGTTAATGAGGCTTTACGAGGTCGAACACTAAGAATTAGAATAAAAATGTCATACAAGCTTATGCAGTATTTTGTTGTATTGATATGTTACAGTTGAATCATAATTGATAAGTCGACTATAGCTCTGAGCCAGTATCTGTCATATATGCTACTTACGACTTAGTATCTGTCAAGTATACTACTTACCACTTAGTATCTGTCAAGTATGCTACTTACGACTTAGTATCTGTCAAGTATGCTACTTACCACTTAGTATCTGTCAAGTATGCTACTTACGACTTAGTGTCTGTCAAGTATACTACTTACCACTTAGTATCTGTCAAGTATGCTACTTACGACTTAGTATCTGTCAAGTATACTACTTATTAACACTTAGTATCTGTCAAGTATGCAACTTACGACTTAGTATCTGTCAAGGATACTATACTTACCACTTAGTATCTGTCAAGTATGCTACTTACGACTTAGTATCTGTCAAGTATACTACTTACGACTTAGTATCTGTCAATTAGGCTAGTTGACAGTTATATCTGTCAATTATTAAAAGAAATATATCATGTGGCGCTTCTACGCTTTCGTAGTGCATGACTTGTATGATGAACAGAAAAAATGTCAATCGAGAATGAAAATGCTTCTATGCTTCGTTATCTGCACATGATCTGCACACACTCGTTCTATGCTCCTGTGATCTGTACATGAAACATGAAACGACTATAGAGAGTTGAAGTAATCACTGTACGTAGACCTCCACGTAGACGTTATAAGGTACGAAAAATAACGCTTAGGTATTGTCGTTAAATTGAGTTGAAGTCGTTACTGTCATCATCTTACTGTCATCATAACGTAATAATACATTTTGTTTCCGGTTTGTATTGGTCAATTTTGGTTGGGTGCTTAGATTCGAACATTTATTCCTGTCAAAATGAGAGGACTCCTTGATGCAGAACTCGTTGGGGATCCCAAATTTGATAATTTTGACTCATCGGCATATTTCGAATATAGTTTTGAAGGTACGTGAGATAACGCACACCTGTAAGCCCACTAACAACGCAAACGTGAAGAATTGGAAAATGCGCATGCGTAGGTAGCTGTCAATTTCTACGTTTACGTTAACGTTCATGACAACACTTCAACTCTCTTATGACTATTTTCATGTCAGTTGGACACAACGGGATATACCGAAATTCAAAACACCAGAACACTAACATAAGATGGTACAGACAGAGATGAGTTAAATATTGATGAAATAAACCTCTGGTGCGCTCACTCTTCATTTGTTTCGTCAGACTGGTTCTTGATATAAACAATTGAATTTCAGACGATGACGTGGGGTTCACATATCGAATGTTAGATGGCGTGATTCTTAGAACTTATGATCAACATCAGTTCTACCAACCTTGATGCAGCAAAATCGCAAAATGTATTCCCTATCTTCATTGGTCACAATTCGGTCACAATTGTCACATTGATGCCTGTAATTTTGGTACGGCACCAGACTAAATTTAGCGACATTCGCCCACGCTCATTGCCCACGCCATGTTATGTTCATCGAAGTAGGCGAAAATCAAGGAATTGTAAAACAGGAAAGGATTGAAGTGCGTACACCAGAGGTTTATTTCATCAATAGTTAAATTATCTCTGGTACAGCAGGTATCCAAGTACAAAAATCCCAATATCATGAGTTTATTAATTTCTTCTCCCCTTTTCCCCATTTCTATATTTTTCAATGAAAATTCCTATGATATGGGAAAATTCCTACAGGTTGGCATCACTGGTGTCTTCTTCTATCAATGGCCTCTGCTCTATAAGGCTATTGCGTCTAGAGACAGAAGAAAAAAAATAGTCATCGTGGTGGGGGAACCTCACCTTTCGTTATTTCGTACAGAGATAAGTTACCCTTTCGTATCCGTCGAGATGAAACATTTTCAAGGTCCCTATCAGATGTATCACGAGTGATTCCTAAGAGTGTGACGAACAAAAATTAATTTCTACAAATGGAACACCTCGTTCGTTTGTATTTTTTTCAGAAATCAATGATTCTTTGTGTTCTCAAATTAATTTATGGAGAACAGTGAGAACACCAATTCCTACCTTATTTCCCTTGGTTCTCACGATGTTCTCTGACAGGATATCACTTTTCGTGGGAACCAGGAAAAAAATAAGAAAACATGGTTTTCCGATTTGAAAAAATGCATTTTCGGTATGGTATCTCTTTTCTTCGAGTACCATAGATATCCTGATTATACATTCAAAAGTAATCACAGAATATCCTATGGATATCCATATGATTTACATGCTTGGACCATATAGACGTATACAATGAATTTACATCCAAAGGATGTCCGTTAATGACTAGAGCTAGTATAATTTACATTCATTTAGCGACATTCACTGGACATTCAGTTTTCGTCCATACTGGACGTGAATATTATTCAATTGAATGATGAACGTCCACGGGACTTCCTGCTTTGTACATCCTTTGGTCGAATCGAAATTAAATGTTATATTAAATACTATAGAGTCCGATTCTGGAACGCGGTTTGTTCCATGTGATGTGTAAAAATCGTTTGAAACTGAGATGATTAGCTCTTACTCTTTTCATTAAGTTTATTGTTTTTCCAGATTTACAGGGAGAAACATTGACCCATTACAAAAATTAATATTTTTTAAGTTATCCCAATCATATATGGGAAATTGCTCGGATTTTATCCTAAGGCATATTATTATTGCTTTGTTTTTTGTTTTTTCCAAACGGTTATTTCGATGTGAGCAAATGATCAAACATTGGCAACGCTGGCTATAATAATAATAACAAAAACATAATTATAATGAAAGATTCTTGTCTATCTTCGGGAAGTTTAGCGTGGTGATTTTTCCAGTCATATAAAAAAAATTAATCACACAGTATATAGTTAATCGAGAAATTGAATTGAGATTTACACCAGTGTTTACACATATACATATATACTTCTAGCTCCCTATACTATGAGATCCTTTTGATGAAATCCCTTGCAGCATCCGTTGGAATAATTCTCTGAAATAAAAAAAAACAGAAATTAAACTGCCCGATTTCTTCCTATACATATACAGGGTGTTTCAAAAAAACCTAACCCCCTTGCTAGGGTAGTTAGAACATTGCAAAATAAGTTGGGTTCGCTCTGTGAAAAAATGTCGTAACGGGATCCGTTTTTTTGCACATTTTTCACGATCATTCCGAAACTACTGGCAACATTGTAATGAAATCTGGTATGGATGTTTCTTAAAATCAGACACATCGGCGCATGAATTTGTTTTTATATCTGACTCTCATAGAGGGCGCTAGTTACACGGTTCGTACCGGGTAGTTTTCGAACATAATTTTTTTGAGGTTAGATTTTTCAATCTAAATATGTAAGTGGCAGGATTCCTAATAAAGACCCAGTCAACACACGGACATTCGATGGACATCCATTGGACGTCCATTTAGGATATTTGGGATATCCAGAGAATATCCAGTGATATCCGATGTATATCTTATGGACGTCCAATGGACGTGCCGAGTGGAAGGAGTTGGACTTCTATAGGATATCCTTCAGGGACATCCATAAGACATTTTTCAGGGATATCCATAAGATATTGTTCACAAATATCCATAAGACATTTTTCAGGGATATCCATAAGATATTGTTCACAAATATCCATGAGATAGTTTTCAGGGATATATCGTTTGTAGAAATCCTATCAAAAACAGTATCGTTGAATTCGTTATGATAATCCTTAACCGATTATGGAATAAAATACAGGGTGTCCCGTTTGAAAATGCCATCCTCGGTTAAACCAAAAGTGCGGTAAAGCAAGTAGATATGTCGAATAATATAAAATGAACTATAATTCATGACCCCAATTGACGTTTTACTACCTACAATAATGAAAAAGTTATAGGAGTGAACCACTCATACCTCATGAAAGAATTCAATTTACCATGACTTTCGACATGGATGCATTTTTAGACCAATCAGAACGATTCTAGCCATGGAGGTTAATTCGAATTGAATTCAATCTTTTGAGAGATATATAGAGGAGGCGAGCTGGCCGGATTTGAATCGCGTTATCCCTAGCGCAACAATGAAGCTATTTTCCGAAATGCTGTTAAGGTGAATTCAAGAATTAGATTCACTTAGATTTTTCCATCTTCCTTTTGGAAAATTTGTCATTCACGCAAATGCCATATTGATTTATATTTTATTGCTTCAGAATATTTTATTACTATCCATTGGGAAAATACCTACCCAGTTTTGAATTCAGGGATGCGAATATATCTTCTTATGGATCTCCATCTCAATCCCAAGGAAAAAATGGAGATACAAGTTATTTCTGAAAAATCATATTTTTGTGCGAAAATGTTGAAGAACAAAAGTTATTTTGACATAAATATGATTTTATGTTTTCTTTGGATATCTTATGGCTATCCATAAGATATCTTCTGATGGATATCCGCTATAAATCCATGGATGAATATTTCATGGATGTCCATCTGAAGACCACAAAAAAGTAAATATATGAGAGCTATTTTCGAGTGATTGTATATTTTTGTACGAAAACATTGAACAACAGAGAAAAATTCCAAACTGTGGTGTTGTTATTTATATGAATTCATATTTGCATCGGATATCTTGTGGCTATAAACATATTATACCTACATAACAATAGTTATATGATGGAAAACTACCTTTGAATTTCTAATAAACATGTGATTTGCATGTGATATTTGTGATGATTCGTATTGTTTTGAACCATTCTCAATTAACAATTTTTGTTCGCTAAACGAACATCTTATGGACGTCCATAGGTGATCCGCATCAGAATATCCATTTGATATCCTCTGACGGATATCCTATGGATATCCATTTCATGTCCCAGGATATCCCGACCTGAAATGGACTTGAGAAGGATATCCATAGGATATCCTGTGTTATCTGGGGAAGTTGTGAAATATTGCTGGCCCCTGTCCGGCCCTGGACGCCCAGATTAAATATTCTAATACCGTACATTTCTTTGTTTTGTCTCTCTGAATGACATAATACTGAAATATGTAAGAGGCAGGATTCCTAATAAGGAAGTTGTAAATTATTGCTGGCCCCTGTCCGGCCCTGCACATCCGGATTTTTGTAAAAAATATTGCTGAACTTTATTGCTGAAGTAACTAGGTTTATAGTAGCCTGGATCATTACCTGGCCGATATCTGCTATTGCAGCCAAAATGGACCTCTTCGGTGGTCGGCAATACCGTTTCCCGCCTTCCTGGCAGCAGAGGTTCGGAAAACAGTCGAGAGGTGTTTGGCATGGTTTTGGAAACAAGTCCAGTACAGTTGGAGGCGGAGGAGTACACTGCATGTAGCCTACCAAGGTTCGTATTGCTGATGGGAAATATTCAATGGTTAATGTGATTCTGGACCACGGACTCATAAATCATAATTTTTATATCTTACGACTAGATCGCGCGATCCTATGGTTTCATACCAAATTTCTGAACAAAACATGCATATGGGCATTGAAATATATTAGTCCAACAGCGAAATGGCAGTTTATCGAACGGCACCTGTGAACATCACTATTCTGGGCCAAATGATTGAAAAATTGTGGAAATTTGCACTCGATTTTGCGATTTGATAACGAGATAAGAATTATGCCATCCGATACCAATCGAATAGTAGATTTCTTAAACCTACCTGTTCCACCCCTCAGTCTGTGCCAAAACCACGGCACAGCGAATCATTTGCTGATATTATTCTGGACATGCTTCCGTCATCGGATAAGGAAATGAATCGAGAAGCAAATGAATAACGAGTGCCACGATTCGAACTGATCTAATAAGTTAGTGGCAGAGCGTCAATACTTCCGACAATATATTACGCCCCTTTATTCTGAAATAATAGCCGTTGGTCAGTGTTGACGGTCTGCCCTTAACTTAGACCAGTTTGAAACGCGGCACATTTGAATATTAGTAAATATCTCATTCAGTCTTTATAGTATACATATATAGTTACCTACCTAATAAGGTTGTACTTAATATAAATATCATTTACACACCTATCTACTCACTTGAAAAAATATTGCTTTGCTACAGAGATATAGGTATGTTTTTCAATTCAAATTCAAATGATTGATCAAAAATATGACTTACGTTCCACAAGTTGTTTTGGCGGTATTTTTTCCCACAGCGGCTGGGCTGTCCGACAATAGCTCACATTTTCACTCGTTTTGATAAGTTCTGGACAGCAAATTCTCGGGGTGCAATCTTCATCAGTCTTGCATTCTTTTATATCCCAAATTTCCGGAACAGGTTCTGTTGGACAAACTTGTTGGACAAATCCGAACAAAGTTGCTAAGAACACAAAAGGGTATAATGAAGTTATCAAATAATTATTGATCATATCATTTCACTAATGATTTAGTTTAACACAAATGCTTTTGGTAATGCAACTAAGGAATTTTTGTAGACCTATACTGATGAGACTACGAATTCTTATTGAATAATCAACTAATTTCCAACAGTGTAAACAAAGTTTATTAATAGAGTTACAAGAAGAAATAGAAACAAATTGTCAATAAAGACCTTTCCAACAAATAATAATTGAAAAATTTACTTACGGGCATGTATAATTGCTAGTTTTGGAGGTTCGACCCCCTTGATACATCTATTTTCGCAACACAACGTGTCTTTACCGAAAATTCGGCAATCTGTTGTTTTCGAACATGGCAGGGCAAAAAATGATCCGGTCACATCTTTTCCTGGACACACCAGCCCCAGTTCCAATTCTTGTTTACCTGTTTCTTCGACAGATGCGACTGTTTTGATCGGTGATCTCGAAATAGTTGAGGTTGACTCCAATACTTGTTTCACAGGTTGATCCTGAGATTTGGTGAATTTACTGTCGTCGATTTCATTTCCTGAAATCGAAAATATACATTATTTTCTATGGGCAAGGAGTGACTACTTGATTACGGATATATAGAGTTTCAAAATTCAACCGACAACGCTCGACATGTGATAGTCCTCGTGATTTTTATTAATTTTCAATTAATTAATTAATTATTATTAATTAAAAGCTTTTATTTAACTTGCATTGTATGATTGTATGTAGGTATGTATGTATGTTCGGGTGGAATCTTTGAACTCAATTTTGAAGTAGAAAAATCTTCAACCGATTGAGCTGAAATTTTGTATACCTACACGTTCAGTTTGGATGACAATGCACGATAAGGTGTGTGTCACGTTATTCTAAATCCAATATGGCGGACTATTCAAGATGGCGGAAAAGCTATTTCTGATATACTTTTACAATATGGGTATCAATTGGAAAGGCTCGTTGAGAGTAACTCGAGAAATGATGTGACGTCATTTTGAATCGAATATGGCGGACCATCCAAGATGACGGAATGGTCATTTTCAATCTACTTCTACAATAATTATGGGTATCAAATGAAAGGGCCCGTTGAGAGTGATTCGAAAAATAATGTGACGTCATTCTAAATCCATTATGGTGAACCATCCAAGATGGCGGAGATCATTTTCAATATACTTCTACAATATGGGTATGGTATGGG